GAATTTTCATTTAATTGACTTTTCTTCAGCTTCTGTGGATTTGTTCTCAGGTACTTTCAGAATGTTTGTTATTAATGCTACAGAATTCCCATTTATATTTAACTTCAAAAAATAAAAGCCCAGGAAAAAGACTGCATTTGTGAAAGGCAATTTTTATGATTTCAAAATTATTCATTTGTAACTTCCTTTCCCATTAGAATCGATTTTCTTTGAGAACAGATCTCTGGGCTCATTTATTTACCAGTGTATCCTTGAAGTCTAGAATATAGACTTGCACAAAGTAGTAACTCAATAAATGAGTTATTAAATATGTTTTTTTCAGTGTCATATTTTCACTACAGCAATTTTCATAATCAATAAAATCACTTCCAGCTATCATTATCTATTGGATTAAATACATGATATTTAAGTTCTATTTGCATAAGTATGTTTAGGATTTTTTGGTTAATAACCAAAAAGCTGAAATAGTTTTCAGTGTATCAGAGTATTTTGTAAGCACCTGATTTTCTTTTTTTTGTTTTGTTTTGATTTTCCCTGTTACATCCTAGTAAAGTATTATGCATTTTGAGCCACTGTTTTCTACTTGTACCAAGATAATGATGATAGTTTTCTGCTAGCTACACCATATGCATATTGAAAGGAATAATTGGATGTTTAAAAAATAGAATTGTTTAGTGTTTCTCAAGGATAAATAAAGGCCATTGCTTTTGATCATTAATTTTATTAGGAAACTGAATCATTTTCATCAACACAAATTATTTTCATTACTATATTTTATAATCCTTTCATGAGAAGCATTGTTATAAGATGATAAAAGCAACTACTTGGATCACTGAATAAAATGCTAAAAATGGATTAATTAAGAAGTACATAATTAAAGAAGGTAGAACATATCTTGCAGGATGTTAAAGAATTTAACATGTGAGGGTCTGTGCAAATGTTTTTCTTATTGTACATCCACTGTATATAGTGACTTATAAGTAGAAAATACAAATATGTACAATGAAGCACTGAATGTAAAATATTAACATTGAAAATAACAATCTAATACTTTAATGAATTATTCCATTGCTATGATATTGTCTATGACTTATAAATTCTAGCATTTAAAGATCAGATGACATTATAACATAAATCTCTTCACTTGCAAACCTCAACAGATAACTCACTTTACCTCCAGCAGTAAGTTTTTTAAAATTTCACATCTGTGTATTTGATTATTTTGAACCTACAGGTTTTTATTGTCAACATATATATTGACATATATTTAGAGCTATTCGTTTATGTCTAGTTTGTGACAAGTTTCTTCTCCTCAATTCATCCGTTCTCCTTCTCTTTCAAAAAGATAATTTATTATTTTTTATTGTTTTCTTTTTAGTACAAACTCTGTGGGAAATAATTGAGGTTTATTCTCATCATGGTTTCTAAATGACATCCTCCAACTTTTATGTTTTAAATAAAACTCTCTTAAAAGGCTGACCAACCAAAGCTTTGTAAGTGCGCATTTATATATGTTATCTCTGCAATCCTGCTCCTTTCTGATTACATATGATAAGCATTATAATCCAGTATTTCAATTCCTGCCTTTCTCTTGGCAGAAAGCTGCCCTGAGATTTAGACAGCGGAGCCTCTTGTTTAGATTTCCCAGAGGTGTTTCAAGGTTATGCCTGGCAGCTGGCTAATAGGACTTTCCCGAGGTTGACTGCCCAAGATAAGAATGGTTTTGTTCAAGGCACCAGTTTCATAACAAACTCATTCGCATTGACTTTCTTGAGGTGATGGCACACTGAAAGAAAACATTCTGCAAATTTGCTTTTATTGTTTCTTTTTGGTTATTGCAGATACTTTTATTACAACAAAGACTATGCTTATCTAATTATAAAATTAGTGTGTGTTAAATAGTTTGGAAAATATAGACAGGATGAAGTAGATAGAAAAAGAAAATTACTTTCATTCCTACCAGCACACCCACTTTATTAAGATCTTTAAGTATGTTTCCCTGGTCTTTTCCTTAAAAATTTTTGATATCTGTATAAATTACAAATTTTGCTCTGTTGGTGTTTTATTATAAGGTATTGATTTTAATATATTATCAAATATTCTTCAAAAACATTTTGAATGGATTTGTACTATCCATATACAGTTATATATTCAATAATTCTTTAATTCTTTAACTATTAAGCCATTTGGGCCAGTTAGCTCACTTGGTTAGAGTATGATATTATAACACCAAGGTCAAGGGTTCAATTCCCTATACAGGCCAGATGCAAAAAAAAAAAAAAAAAAAAAAGTTGAGCCATTTGGATTTTTTTTTCCTTTTTTTGTATGATAAGTAAACATATCTTAAATATATATTTTTGTATTATAAATATTATTTAAATTTTACATCAAATTTTACATAAATTTTCTTTTATCCTTTCCTTGGGATATGTTCCCTGGAGGAAAAATACTGAGTCATTGAATATGATGGTTTTTAAGATTTTTTTAAATGAGTTTTGATATACTCATTTAAAATCAGACTTTCAGTACAGTAATTAAAAAACGCACTTTCAGCAACTTCATTTCACTGAATGAAACTAAATTCTTAACTAGGAATGATGGGTTGTTTTCTTTCACAATACTTTTGTACTGATGTTTAAAAATCAATTATTTAATACTGTTAACAATAAGTTTTAAAATTTGAATTTCATCAAATTAGATACAAGATATACTTTCAACTGATTCAGTTATGTGAGTTAAGCAAAGCTATGAACTAGGAATTACGTATCATAGTCTTTTACATAAGTTTTATACTGAAGTTACTGAACATTTTCTCCAATTTATGTTTTCAATAAGTCTTCATATACAAATTTAAAACCCGAATTTCAGCATAGTAGATGGGAGATGCACTTTCAGCTGTTTCATTTCAGTGAATTAAACTAAATTCTGAATTAGGAGTTGTGTCATTGTCTTTTACATGAGTTTTATACTGACGTTTCTGGACCTTTTTTCCAATGCTGGTTTCCAATGGTTTTCATATATGCATTTACAATCAAAATTTTAGCACAGTAAATGAGAGATGATTTTCAGTGCCTCATTTTAGTAAATTAAACTAGATTCAGGACTAGGAATGAATTATCATTGTATTTTATATAAGTTTTATACTGATGTTCTGGACCGTTTTCCTAATTCTGGTGTTTTTAAGATTTTGATAGACGTTGCCAACATGTTTTTTATGAAGTTGGAAACAGCTGATATGCTTGAGCTAAGTAGCAGTTTGGAAAAATCATTGAAGCGTCTGCAATATTGATGGTTTTCCTTTTGTAATGTGTTGATAATTTGATAGGCAAAGGAATATATTTAAAAACCCACATCTTTATTTAATTTGCATTTCTTTGATTACTACTGTAGTTACATTTTTAAATATATTTAGTCTTGTTATTCCTCACTTATTAGAAATACAAATCACTATTATTCTAGAATATGAAGGTAATGTTTGGTAATTGAAGCACACTGATTGTAGGGGGACCATTTAGAAAATGACTTTGAGATCTCAGTCTTCAAAAACACTAAGATAACATTATCTGAGAGAATATGGGTAAGGTAGTGAGGCAGTATGATGCAATGACTGGTTCTAATCTACTTCTGAGTAGCTTTTGAACTGGCGATCAAATCACTGTGAGCTTCAATTTCCTCACTTGAAAAATGATGGAATTTTAAGAAATGATTTATTTGTTCCATTATAGACTCCAATGTCAAACACTTATCAGAATCAGTGTTATTGTTCATAAAATAAAACATTCTAGCAGTATTATAAGTTCTCAGAAGTTTTATTCTGAAAGGGCTTCAAAGATTAGATTAGCAGTTAAACTTTTGTGGCAATGGACACTTTATATAGTGTTTTAGTGCAAATATTCCTTTTATATAATTGTAAGTTCTTTTGGGGGGATTTAACCACTTCTCTCATTTAATACAACGTTAATGTCTTGTAATAAAAAAGTATAAGTCACATCCCATCATTTTCACACTCTTCAAATACTGTAGTACTCATTATCTATACAGTGTTTTTTAGTCAGTTGCTGTCTTATGCCATTTTCGTCGATTTCATCAATTCTCATCAATTCTATTTATTCAGTTTTTTAACAAATGTTTATGTGCTTATAGAGAGCCAAGAATTGGCCTTGGTTCAGTCATCGTAGGTGAGGATTATTCCCAAGTCATGAAATTTATTTTGATTTTTTTTTTTTTTTTTTTTTTGTCCTTTTTGAAACCGGCCACACCGCGCTCAGCCAGTGAGTGCTGTTAGCGCACCGGACATCCCTATATAGGATCCGAACCCGTAGCGGGAGCGCTGCTGCACTCCCAGCGCCGCACTCTCCCGAGTGCACCACGGGCTCAGCCCTATTTTGATTTTTATGGTAGAAATTTTTATGGTAGAAATACAGGGTTTATTTCAAAACAGAGACATATTAGCTTTTTACTACTTTAACTCCAGCAAAATTTTTTTTATCTTTTTTGTTTATTTTTTATTATTATGAATATTCATGAGATACAAATTACCAGAAATTCCATGAGGTGTAAGGTTTCTTTCCTCGGAGCCAAGGCATTAAACCCTTTTATGTAATTGTTTAATTGCCAATGCACCATTTTAATTGACATGTTACTATAGGTTTCCACGGGAAAGAAAATGTAATATTTTATTTTTGTTTCTTATCTAATGAAAGCAATTCTCTTAGGTGGTCCAGTTTGACAATTGGACTTAGGAAAAAACTATTCTGGAATGAAGTTTCTATGTGAACAAGGAAAAGAAATTAACTTTAGTGCTCATCTCATTGGTCTGCCAAATCGGAAGGACATTTTAGGCCTGATAATCATGTTCTAATTAGTCTCTGGAGGACATTCATGGACAATCGAGTGCTCATTAATCTGTCTTCTTCCTGTAACATTGATTAGTTCATTACCCTTTTAGAGTTCCAAATATAGAAACCAAAAATTGATGCCTGATGTTAATGTGCTTACAGATGTTGCCACGACTTATCCAGATAAGAAGTCCATCTTAATGTACATCACATCACTCTTCCAAGTTTTGCCTCAGCAAGTGAGCACTGAAGCCATCCAGGAAGTGGAAATGTTGCCAAGGCCAGCAAAAGTGACTAGAGAAGAACATTTTCAATTACATCATCAAATGCACTATTCTCAACAGGTAAAGTGTCCAAAGGACAACTAACATCAAAGATGTTTTCTGTTTTATATGCATTTTAGGTGTCATATGTTCAAGTGCATGCCTGTGTGCACACACACAAGGGTACTTCAGAAAGTTCATGGAAAGATTCGTATTATCTTTTAATTCTATTTTCCCATGAAGTTTTTGAAGTGCCCTTGTATATAATGTGTATATACGTATATGTACACACATATACATTATATGTATACATAGCATTTTGTGGGTGTGTGGGTGTGTATGTACAGAGAGAGAGACAGAAAGAGACTATATAAACCTTTTACATTTTATCTGATATGGGCTACAGTATTTTTTTCAAAGCCTATTGTTATATGGGCCATTTTATAAGTATATAAAACACAGACTCTTTTGTGTTTGCATTGCATAAAATGAAATAAAACAACAGGCAAACTTATGTACATATTAACTTGAAAGCCTCCATCAACTAGAGCAAAGAACAAAGAGCTAGAGCAAGAGCAAACACAAAGGCAATTACTCAATAATAATTTATTTTTTTTAATTTTGGTGTCAACTTATTTATGTATTAACACATTTTGATTATTCAAAGTATCATTTTTAAAAAGAGAAAAGTGGTTCAAAATATTTCAAATGAAAATTAAATGGACAATAATATGATTAAATTCTTTATTATATCGTTGTATAGAAACCAGTGAGATTCTTCAATTACATTCGCTTGTTATCACTCTCAACAGTGGATATTTTGTGTGTTTTCTAGTACTTTCCTAGATACAAACAATGATGAAAAAGCCTTTAGCAAAATTTCTGCTGAAGGTGTGGAAAATTCTTAGGCCTAATTTTCTCACTCTACTGAACTAGTTCTATATTTAGCTTATGAAAGCTTTAGTTCTTTTCAGGATATTGACCTGATGAATTCTGGCTTTGTTTACTTTGGGTTCAGAGAAAATTGTTTTTGGATGCTTGTTTTTGCCAGTTTATAGAGCACCATTCCATATAAGTGCTAAAGTTATGTCAGCATGGCATCCTCATATTTAAATCTCACCGTCATATCTTCCCAGATTATCTGTTCTCCAACATGACACTGAGCAACACAATTTTTGGATTGTACCAGTTTCTAATATCACTTATATATGTTTAGGATTGAACATTTCATCTCACCATTTCCATGTAATATTTTGTTTTCAAGTGTGTTGGAAAGTAGTCCTTCTGGGGTTACTTACGCTGTCTCCTCCTCCTCTTTGTCCCCCTTCCTGCAACCCTTCTCTGCAGATCACAGTCAGTCTAGCGCAGGGCTATGAGCGAACTTCTTCCTCTCCTAAGCCTCGGTTCAAGAGCTATGCCTACACACAGGCTGCCTATGTCACCAGCTCAGACCCCACAAGGAGCCCATTTCCTTCACAGGTCTGTCAACATTTACTATGTTCTACAAACCAGAGAACTTCTTCCAAGACAATCTAACATTGGTTTTGCTTGTTTGAATTTTTCAGTGACATTTTTCTCCTCCATCAAGAGCTATTTTGCTTTCTCACTTTTATTAGATTCTCTCACATAATGCTGCTCTGTTACTGCAATGTCTCTAGGTTTAATATATTTTGATTCTTCATGAATGGGGATTCTCATTGTAGTAATTTGTACTTTCATTATAAAATTACTTGTAAAATTCTCTTTTGCAAAGGCTACCAGTGGTTGTAAAAAACAAGAAGCTCATCAAAAAGTTTCTATATATAACTTTAAAAAAGTGCTGGCAAGTACATGACAATTACTAATCACACTGTTTGGAGAAATTTTTCTAGATATCTGATAGGATGTATATACTCTAAGTAGATGCTTTCATTATATTTTCATTCTGCAAAAATGTATTTATATTCTATTTAAGAAAAATATAACTGCACACTTCTTCGTACGATCTCCTTTAATTTTGCTAACTTAAACTTGTATATAATAGGCTCTGTAGTATTTAGAAGAAAAAGTCACGCCCAAACCAGGTCAGATTCTAGGCATCATTTATTACTGTGTACATGAGGAATCTTCTCAATAGAGTTTTCCACCCTCGTAATATTGTAGGAAATCTAAAATTACAGTAAATTATAACCATATATATATATATATATAACAGCATGGAAATTAAATGTGATAGAATTGTAAGATTTGTGAGTGTTCCTTTGTAAAAGAAAGCTTTATTTATTTGGCTCAGTGCAGCAATTTGAAAAGTTTTCAAGGAAGTGATTTTTGTCAAAACTTCACTATGAATGAAAGTTTAGAAATTATAGATCTGATCCTGTTGGTAAAAAAAGTATACACTTTTTGGAGACTCGTTCTTTTTTTTTTTTTTTTTCAAGATAGTTGTATGCATTTAATTAGTGATTTCTTTGGCAGTTAATTGGTGCATGAGGCTGAAAATTCTAAACACTGAAAGATTCCTCCCCCCACCACCAAAACAAACGCATCTATTTTAGGGCATGATTATCCCCTTTGTCTTTGGCTAGTTTTCTTGAAAAGCAGATTGGATGAGAAGTTTGTGTGACTCAGCCTTGTCTTCAATTAAATCTCCATCCAAGTTTTCACAAAGTCTAATTAATTGTGTAATCTTGAACAAGAAACTTAACCAGTTTCCTCATTATCAATAAATAATAATAATTCTGCCACAAATTATTGAGTGTTTACTCTATGTCACATATGTGCATTTATGAACTAATCTGACCCTTATAATATACCCAAGGGATGGGAAATGCCATTTTTATTTCCATTTTAAGCTTAAGTTTTTCCACCCTTCTCTCTCCCACTCTGTCCCACCTTCTTGACTCTCTCTCAACTCTTTCCAGACTCCCTAGGCTCTTTCTATCACCACCATTCCATTGAAAACACCAGGACTTAAAGCATAGGTGCTACATTCTAAAATAAAGGATCATAAACTAAGGCAAGGATAGAAGGTTTTTCTTCCTCATTATCACTTTATTAAGCTGCCTTTTCTGGGTTTGCTCCAATGCCTATTCTAACAGCACATTTTTACCTCATTACCACCTCATTAAGGCATTGCTCAGGTATGACTTTTTAATGAAGTATTTGCAAATGAACTTAAATTTTGCTATACTCTATTTGTTCACTCTACCTTTGTCTAAATATTATCAAATACGTAATATGTCACAAAGTATTCAGCAAATGCAGTTATCTGTTTTATTTAACCTAAGCCATTGAAATAAACCTAATGTTTATCCTTTAGAGGAGAAGCAGCAAAAATCACAAGAGATGTGAAATAATATATTCTGACTGTTACTAAAGGAAGCACATCCAAAGATGATGTTACACCTAGTTAGGTTTGATAAGTTTATTAACTATTCACACTAAGTTTTTTCAAGAGTCTGAGAGGGACTGAACCTACACTGCCTCCTACAGGTTGTATCTGCTCCACTTCAAATGAACTCAAGACAGACCAGATTGTATTACATAGGAAGGTTTTATTCAAGTGTTTACTTGATGTTCTACAAGGAAAGATGAAGTTTTCCAAAAGAGGAGAAAACCAAGTGGGTGACATGGAAAACATAAAGGTCATAAATTATCTTCACAGGTCTAAGTATCGTAGGAACATCAATTATCCTCATCTTCCCCAAACATGGAAAATCTGATGTATACTCATTGCAGTTTGTGAAGCTGTTTGAGGTGAAGCAATCTGACCTACCTCAGGATCCTTGCATAGGAATTAGTTTTCCTCATAATTTACCAAAAAGAAATACTATCTGGTATGAGCCCCCAACATCCCCTCACTGTATTACTTAAATACCATCCATCCTTGAATGGAGGACATCCTTTTCATAGTTATATTTAATCCTAATTTTGTGACTGTGATCATGCCTCTCATTCTGCTCCTCATCTTGTATAAAAAAACCCCAATCTCTCTTTCATGTTCTATTTCCTTCTCTTTCCTGGAGCCTCATCTTGTCCAAAACTTCTGCAGACACATACACCCATGTGCATGCCCCCTCTCCCCAAACATGCTACTCTGCTTTATCTTGCTAATATACTATTACGTGACTCATTCTCTCACTGGCAGCCTTCTGGAAAGTAGTCTATGTTTTATTCATTTTATTTATTTATCGAAAAATTAAGTATTCTTAGTCACTGAATCAAATGGCTTTTATTCAGCTGTCCTGGCTTTCTACCATCATTAAAACACTTTCCTCATAGCCTCTAGATTCAGTTGGTTCTTCTCCCTCTCATCTGTATTTCTTTCATTATCTGGCTCTTTCTCCTTTTTCAACTCCCTTAGCATAGGAATCTCATGGATGATCCCTTGACCTTCTTATCTGTATACTCATTTTCTTGTCAATATGATTTAACCTCCTGGCTTAAATCTGTATGCAAATGACCATTGTATCCATGTCTTTACCACTTCCAGTCTCTTATAACCACATTTCCAACTCTCTGATATGTATTTATACCTTGATGTCCTCTGATGTCTGAAACCTAGTATGTCCCCAAGTGAACTTTGTTTCATCGCTCATACACCTATTTTTTATCCTTTTCAGTATGTAAATAAGAATATGACTCAATGGTCATTGAAGCTTACATGAGACATACTCCTTCTTCTCTATATTGATCTGGTATTCAATAATGAGACATACACAGTCAAATTTTTCTTCATAACATTTCTCCATTAGGTGATGTCCCCTCAATTTTCATAAATGCCACTCTGGTTCAGAACCTCAATTTCTAGACTACAGAAATAGCTTTTCTATTGCTATCACTACCTTTAGCTTAACCCCCTCTAAACCAGATTCAATTTCTTTATTCACAGCCCTAATAATGTCATTCACAAAACTTTCTTCACTTTCTTTGCTTATGTAAAGAGTCCACTCTCCTAAATTTCATCAAAATGCTTTATGATCTATTAACGATTTATATTTTCACCCTTATTACACACTTATCTGTTTCAAGTTTTCTTCAAACAAATTAAGTCACTTGTTCTCCTTTGTAAGTGTCAAGAAATTCCCCTGCTATGTGCCAGGTACTATTATAGAACCAAGTAAACAAACACGCAAAACAATTCCTGCCATCATGGAGGGTATTTGTTTATGGGAGAGTTCAAAATATAAAGAATAAACAGTGTAATTAAGTAAAATAGTATGTCAAAATTTATGGCAGTAATATAAAGTAGAAACTAGTAGTAAGCAAACAAATAATAAAATAGGGAAGAAGAATGTGCAATATACAGTGGAAGGAAAGTTAAAATTTTAGTTTGGGTAGCTAGAGAAAGACTCACTAGGAAGGTAAATTTTGAGAAAAGATTGGAAGGAGGTGTGGGTATCTGGGGGAAGAAAATTCCATGAAGAGAAAACACAGGTAATGTAAAAGTCTTGAGTTGTGAGGATACTTGGTATACTTAAGCAAAGATATGAGTGAGGGGCCCAGTGATAGGATATTGTGTCTGGGATACAATAGAGAACAAGATGACATTGGGCTTTGTAAATAATGGTGAGGACTTAGGCTTTTATTTACCAGTGAAATAGAAAGCTATTTCAGGAGTGACATGAGCTCACATTATCTCAACATAGCTGCTATGTGAAGAACGGACTGAAGGGAACAAGAATAGAAGCAAGGAAACTAGTTAGAATACTACTGCAATAATCCAGGCAAGATATGACAGCAGCTTGAGTCTGGATTACTTCATTGAGAATGATATATAGTAATTGAATTCTGGATATGTTTTTAAGGACAACCTATACAATATGCTGATATAATGTGGAGCATGCATTTGCTGTATTATTTGAGAATATTTAATTTTGTTATAAAAAATAAAAACTAAGAAGGTGAATAAAACTTCTGAGGCATTAAGCAAAAGTTGTAAGTAAACTAGTAGCTTATGAGATATGGGTAAAACTGATGTGCTAAGTTTAGCTAATGAATAAGCAAATATGAAAAGAAGTCATAATGTGTGTTTAATATAGACAGATACTTAGTAACCTATTACACATGTAAAAATAGATGGTATAGATGATGGAATATACAAGAGTGTCACTTACAGAGAAAAAGAGATTAAAAAATCATAAAATGTGATCATATCACCTCTGGGCTGACAGATATATCATTACTGAATTGGCCATCTACTGATGTTACTTAATATAGTCCCATTATGGCTCTTCATGAGCTCTACGTAAAAAATTCATACACATCCCATAGCTGTTCAGCAAACTAATTGATGAGCAACAGCTAAAGGCCACATGCACTTGCCCCTGCGTCCGTCTGATAGAGCAAGTGTATGTTTTGGCCTCAGGCACCTTCTGTCTTTTGGACCCCTTGTTCAAATCTTAGCTCTAGTTCTGTCTACCATACCATCAGCAGGGAAGGTGGGTATAACAAAACACATGAACATTGTACATACCAAGATTTAAATAGTGTGGTCCTTC